AAATTTACTGTACTGCGCTACAGCAACTGTCCAGTCACGCAAACGTGATAAAAAGCCGATATAAACTTTGTAAACAAAAAATGTAAAACGTAACAAAACGGCGAACATGCAGATTCGGCCATGTCAAATAATGGTAATGTTGGGATAGTAGCGTTGCAGACTCCAGAGGAGAGTGGTCAGTAAGGCTCCCTCATGCACCACCCCATGGAAAACCTGCACCCCTCATTGCAGATGAGGCTAGATCCACCCCTAGGACTAATTCACAGCTACTTGTATGCTTTCTAGCCTTATACACGAGTATAAAACACATTAAATGTATTTTTCAAATATTAGTTTCTCTTTCCCAGCTACTTAGCTTTGCCTTTAGTCAATTCTGAGATCATCAGGGCAGTCGGGTTGGCGGAATGGATGAGCGACTTTAAACGTGTCAAGTTCCATTAGACGGTCGTTTATTTCAGAAATATGTGGGAATTTCGTCATGTCCACTTTGAATCTGGAATGAAGTTTAGGGAAAAATAATTGCAGAGGGTAGCATCAAAATATTATAAATGAAGAGATCAGAAGGATGTGAGCTGGTAGACATTGCTGAGAAAATGAGGGAAGCAAGGCTGAGATGGTATGGACATGTAATAAGAAGAGATGAAGGAGAGCTGGTCAGAGACATTATGGAATGAAGAGATCAGAAGATATGAGGAGGTAGACATTGCAGAGAAGGTGAGGGAAGCAAGGTTGAGATGGTATGGGCACGTAGTAAGAAGAGATGAAGGAGAGCTGGTCAGAGACATTATAGAATGAAGAGATCAGAAGAAGATGTGGGGTGGTAGATATTGCAGAGAAGGTGAGGGAAGCAAGGCTGAGATGGTATGGACATGTAATAAGAAGATATGAAGGAGAGCTGGTCAGAGACATTATGGAATGAAGAGATCAAAAGATGTGGGGTGGTAGACATTGCAGAGAAGGTGAGGGAAGCAAGATTGAGATGGTATGGACATGTAATAAGAAGAGATGAAGGAGAGCTGGTCAGAGACATTATGAAGTTGCAGAGGATGGGAGTAAACTGTATATGGATGACGAGGTATGGCCTGTGTAACAAAATATCCAAGTATAACAAAGTATAAGTATGACAAGAGAAAATAATGGAGGATAGGAATCTGAGCGGGTAGAGATAAGAGAAAGTGGAAATGAAAAATGTTAGCCAGGGAATTAAATTTACCTGTTTGCATTGAAAACCTGAGGAACTAAGCAGAGATCTGCCATTGTTACCTAGAAATGAAGAGTATTTGGAGTAAAACTATACAAGACATTCATTTGGATGAAATCACACAGATATGATGTCAATATTTCACCTCGTCGCCAACACAGTATTTTCCTGACGTCTTCTTCAACATTTCTTCAACACCTAAAGGAGACAAATTAATGTAAATTAAAATATTTAAAAAGTTCTTTCAAGATGAAAAGCAGGTTTAGATATTTCACTACCTCCAAAACGTTTGTCAATCCAGTAATGTCCCCACTCGGCTTTTTTTTCATCTCCAACTTTCTTTAAAACACTAAGATTCTAGGATTTTTTAAAATGGAAAGATCTGATATGTTCACAATGCTTGTTCCCAGCTTGTTGACAACTTGCTACAAGGTTGTTGAGCTCAACAGACTTGTTACAAGTTGTTCCAACAACTTGTTATCATTCCTGCAATTCGACAATTTGTCAACAAGTTGTGAGTGACAACCTTGTAGCAACTTGATAAAATAATAGCATTAATTGTTACAACTTGTTGACAAGCTTGCTACAAGCCTGTTGCAAACACATCTTGTTGACAAATTGTGAGATTTTTACAAGTGTAGGCTAGTTATATAAGAGACTGATTCTGTGATTCAGTATAATTGTTATATTTCAATACTCATCCTGACCTGAACTGGCTGGATATCTGATGCAATCGCAAACACAATTTGACGAATCTAAAAATTAGTTTGGGATGTAGTTAGATGAATGAGAATTATCTCAATGGGCAGCCTGCTGCAAGTAGAAATTGGCACAATGAATTGTTTGTCACAGGAGGAAGAATAAGTTTATTTGTACCGTAGCTCTCATCACAGGATCATTGTGTGGCAATAATGGTGGCTCAGGTCTTGTTTCCTCAAGATACTCCAAAATACTGATCTGAAGAAAAAATTATAGACAAATTTAAGAAAGCATTTAAAATATTTATTATTAGCATGACAAAATTACTGGATGCTGATTGGTTGAGAGGAGTACAATTATTTCATTAATTGTACTGCAGTACAATTAATGATTTTCCCAAAACAAACAAAATGGCGGAAAGGTATTTTGAACACAAATGTGAAATGAAATTGCCCTTGAGGAACTAGATGAAAATACGAACAAAAGCACCAAATTTTGCTTTAACAAAAGAACTAAATGAAAATACGAACAAAAGCACCAAATTTTGGTTGAAAGTCTGGCAGGACTAGGCTTTGGCGAGAGAATATGATGTTGACATTGAGAAGTTCGTATCCAATTTTGTCATGC